TTCAACTATTGATTTGTGTATTATTTTTTGCCGCTATGTTTTAATGTGGAAAAATATAAATTATTTAAATTCATTTTAGTAGTAAACTTTTAATGAATTATTTCAAAATTAATGTAATTCTGTCTCTAATTGTTATTCGTTTCATTAACGGCAAAGTAAATCAAAAAATGAGTTTTTGCTCATAATTAGCGCTAATTGATTCACAAATTTGTTGCAAATTTCTTTCAATAACACACTTTTGCTTAATTAATGGATTTTCTCGTTTTGAAACTTATTTATATTAAGAATACTTTTCTTAAATGATTAAAGCTATGGAAATACGAAAATATTGATAAATACATTTGTAATGACATTAAAAAATGTTTTAGACTTTGAAAGTCCTTTTATAGTTTAATAAAAAACACCATAATATGAGATATAATCTCATCAAAACTCGGAATAATTATTGTTAGAAATTTTTTTTAATCAAAAGTCAGTTAATTTACTTAAATGTTTATCTTGAAAATATTTTCTTATTAATAGTAGTGCACTGTATTTGATAAACAATGCCTTAGAGTAGGGAAATAAGATGAGAAAAGTGTAATTCCCGGTGCGCTTGGAATGGGAGGTCTGACTGCTATGAATCGATGTTTGTTTTGGGAATTATTTTTTGCACAAAATTGAATCTAAAGTGAAAACTTGAAATGACTGTAAATTAAATTTTCACAATTATGCTATTTTAACTTTGTTATCCAGTATTATATTTTATGTAAAAATATTCATTTTCGCATTTGTTTTCACTTGTTTTAGAAGTTTTTAACACACTTACACAAACTTTCCAAATGCATTCATAAACCTATTTAATTAAATGTCAAATATCTTATTGGTATAAAGTTTGTAAAATTAGTTTTAATTGAATTAATAAGCGAGTAGAATTTAATCATATTTGAATAAATTTAGGGTATAAAAGGTAATTAGAGATCTGTCTGGTGTTTGAATATGTGACCAAAAAATAATTTTTCTTACTATTGCAATAATAAGTTTTGGTGGATGACATTCACGACAAACACATACATAAAAACACTTTGAATATAAAATGTCATTTGTGAGGCAGTGTTTCAATGCAAGTCATATTACAGTATATTAAGAAAACTAACAAAACACAACTTAATCAAAATTATTGCCATTTGTTTGTCTCTCGGATACAATGTCTCCAAAAATGTGTATTTCTGAGAAATAGTTTTATTGATGCCATCAGAGAGTAGTTTTGATCACTTATTCGTTCACATAATAGTCTAACAAAATAATTGATAGCAAATAAAACTGAAACATAATAACTGTTAAAACTTTCAATTTTTGTGTTTTATTGACAATTTAGCTATTGTTATGGTTTGAGACAAAATTGTCGTACTAATGACTCGTATCTATGTTTTCGTCCAATACATCAACATATTTTAATCTAAATACAAGTATAGCAAACTAACAATTTATTGTATCATATGTACCATTCATTTAATTTTCAAAATGGAATTTAGATATATTAAAAATATCTTAGTCTGAACAATTTGATCAATAATTTATTATTAGGTAAAATTTAACCGAATATTGTTTTGTGAAGATTTTATTCATTGTATGAATAATATATTATTAGATTAGATTATAGTATAGAATATTATGTAACACATAAATATATACTACTCTATGAGTTTCTCAACATTTCTTATGTTTCAATGTCTTACTGTTATATTTGGAAAGCGGACAATGAATTGAATTCATTGACTAAACTTTGTATTGTTTGCATAACTCTTGAAATTAACTCATTTATAGTCCGACTTTCATTAGAATATAGATTAACAGTCATTCGAGACTAACATTAAGACAAGGAATCCGCTTAACTTCAATTGGTTTAGCACTCGAACCACACATACATTACATCAATGAACTCATTTAACTCAATACTATTACTGCCTCTAATACTCTACAGTACTTCAATGCAATTGAAATATATTTTCATTTTTGTATTGCTTTGCAAGTTGTCAAAAGTTTTTGTATTTTCTTTGACTAACTTTCTATTTAATATTCAATTAATTAATATATTTACGTAACATACTAGCAAACTAAGCAATTTATATATTACGCAAATTGTTTTTATAGCCAAATATCTTTTCCCAAACTAATCAATTTTATTTAATTAATGAACTGAAAATAGATAAACATTTTAGCGAAAATTATTTGTTTGACTAGGATTTAATTTTTCATTTACTAAAAGTTATATAACTTAATAGAAAAATCAATTATTTAATACCAAAAAAGAAATGATTGAATGGTTGGTTCACATGTATTTCATTTTTTGCATTCATTCCTTTGCTCTCTCTCTCTCTCTCTCTCTCTCTCACTCACTCTCACTCTCTCTCTCCAATCTTATAACTTATGATATCCTATGTTTTTGCAAACAATTCATCTAAACGTATGATTTAATGTGATTGAATGAAACATACATTATATCAAATATCAACCAAAAAACTGTTGTATCATTTCTATCACAACACGTTTTGCTCTACTTTTTGTATCTATCGATAGAGCGATGAAACACAAGAGAACTGTTAAATGTTTGTCACAATCAATAAAATTTTATTTTCCAGACAATAATCACTCATTTTTATGAATTTTTCCATTCTTCACAATTAATGATATGTTTTATAAAGTTTAATAATAGTTATAATTTATGCCTTTTATATATTATAAATTAATTTATCTCTCAATTTATTATATATCATATTAAATGTAACTAAAATTTTTAAATAACATTATTGCAATAATTAATTCTAGGATTAATGCATAAATAAAATATAACACAATTAATAAAATTAATATTCATAAGAAAATTTTATAAATAACTTCAAATCCCAATGCAATGATAGTGTGTTAATGGAATAACTTTGTGTTTAAATGCTGTTACGATAATACAATGTATCATTTTACTAGTAAATGAGTTAAATGTTGAGTCAAATAAAAGTAAAATTATTGCATATACTGGTCAGACAACCACAATGATATTTTGAACAAATAATTTTTAGACTTCTTTCGTTAAATTGTTTACTAAAAATATTGGTTTACAACTTACTACTAACAGAAATTAATTCAAATTAAAATTTAATAAAGACTTAAAGAAAGTATTTGATTGGATTTGTCGGACCAGATATATAATACATATTATATTTTTAAAGCAATGAAAAATGTGGAAAATAGTAGAATTGTCTGAAATCTAAATTATTTTCACACAATATGTCAAATATGTGTAAAGAAAGAATTGAGTTTTAACTCCCGGTGAGTGTCTGGTGTATAGCACTGGTATGGCATACAAATCAATAGTAAGGCGAGTAGTGGTCGACTGTCACAAAAAGGTGACACTTTATTCGCTGAGGAATATTAGCCATCAAACTGTTACAAAGTATGTGTTGTTTTTGATATTTTAATGCATTCTTAGCATAATTTTTGCCTAAATTCTAGTTATTTTAACCAAATTTTTGTAATTGCTTTGAAATTTTTGATGTTTTTATTATTTTCGTTTCCATATCTCATACTTTTATTTGTATAAGAATTTAAATAATTTATGAAATGAGTATTGGTAGCGTTTATATCATTAACACGTAAATGTTCATATAAAAACCAAAATCACATTTAAAATGTGAGTTATTGTTGGAAAAACAAACAAAAATGTATGGTAACAAAAAAATCTAATACACAATGTATTAAAATATATTGTATGATGTTTTCCTCAAGTTTCATTTTCTTTACAAGTTTTATATTTATTGTTTAAAAATTGAGATATTTGTGACAAAATCAAAGAGTTTGATAGAGTGTTAGTCATCTAACTCTTGACTCCCAGTGACGATCGGCACGTTTTGTCACAATTCATGCATTTTTCATGAAGAGGTTAATGAGTTTTTTGCCCAAATATTTTTATCTCTAAAAGTTCTGAATATAATGAATCTGCAATACAATCAAAAAAAGTGTATGAAATATAGTTTCTGTTTGTTAGTATATAATCCTCACAAATAATATGTACTGGAATTGAGTTAATATATTAGAAACAAAAACTTATACTACCTCTGGGGTAGACTTTCTCTAATATAACATTGTTTCCAAATCAACTATCCCTTCAAACTTATTAATGTTTTCAAACATTTAGAAAGTGAATTTGTTTTTGTTTAACCAAATTTTCTTTCTTTCTTATTAATGTATATATTTTGAAATTTCTTTTCGTATATTGTAAGCAAATTTGGCTCTAAAGTAAGTAATAATTTATTGTTTTTCAAATTTATGAAAATTACTTACTTTTAGTTGAATTACTTTCTATGAGAATAACTTACATATACGAAATATTTTATACATAATATATTTATATACCAAAACATGCAGTACTATAGAATGGTATATACAATATAAATATATATGAAATTTGTAGTCAAATAAATATATTAAAAAGCCAAAATTATTTCTATCTTTTTTGCATTGAATATATTACACGATAGAAAATATCGTGACTTTTATGCATATATTCTATGCTATCTATGTATTTGTTTTATCAATTTCTACAAAGATCAATACAACCCAAACTACTGGTGCTCTATATCTTTATTAAGAGGTGAATATAAAAATCTATTACAACATCGAGAGCTGACTTCTTCTAGCATTAAATGACATCCGTTTCTCCATATCTTTTACCATACATTTAAATGTGTGAAAAGAAACCGATTTCTAAATGTGTTTTTCAGCTGTTTTTGTGTTTATTGAAAGAATAAGTTATTTAATTAATAAAAATTCTTACTTATAATGCACTCAATGATGAAAATGAACATACATTTCAATTTCTGCACAAATTTATATTCATATAAACACAGAGTCTATATAACTATATAGAAATATATGGCCGGAAAAGCGATTTAAGCAAATAAATGATTCAATCGTTTCTTATTATTTTTATTTTATTTCTCTTTTAATTCCAAATTCTTTTTATACAGAGATTGAGTCGACTTTTGTTAAGAAAAAGGCGAAACAAAAGTGAAAATAAATAATGATTACAGCAATTAAATGTGTGGCAGTACTTGAAAACATTAAACATTATACCATTTATTCCTGTTATACTGAATATCATATAATGTTTTTACATTATTAGAGAGATGTGCAAAGTGTGGGTACACCCAGTGCTCCGACACTCATATATGATCAATGGATACAAGCGATGGTTGTGTCCAAAAAAGCATAGGAGTGTTGATTTGATAAGAATCCCTGAGTTCTCAATATTATGAATGAATCCCAAAATAACGGAGTGATTATGTCGTCCCAAAGTGTTGCACACCTCTGGTATTGTGTTGTCTATAGTAATAGTGTATTATATAACAAAAGATCACTTTTATCTCGTTTGCCAACAACTGACTGTATGTGCATAACAATTGCTAATTGAAATCAATACAAGTATTGTATTTTATGTATACTATATACTGTGTATATGTCTTATATTATGCTCCGTACAAATAGGTTGCAATTTATATACATTATTAGACCTAATATTTTATAGAATTCAATAGAAATTTGTTTGAAATAGCATTGAAATAGCACTGAAACGGTACACTACTGTCTGCTACTTATGGCTCAATTGAACTCAATTTTGTGTGTAATGTAAAGCTTCATTAGAGGGCCTACTATAAGGTTAGGCCATTATTTCTTGCGATGCATATGATGTCAACCATTAAGAGTTAAAACGAACGGCCTATTATGACTGCCATACCATAGCATACCATTCCTTCCATACCATTGCAGGCCATTCAGTGGATGGCATTTGTGGCAACGTTTCAAATGACAGATCAACACAAATCTCAATTCTCTTCACTTTTTGTTTGTCTTTTCTCTTCAATTAATTACTTATTTACATAATTATTATATAATCTATTACATAAGCGCACCGACACTATAGCACAGGTATATTATCGTCAGTTTTGTTGAGTATTTTATAATTAATTTAATAATTAGCAGTTTTGTCTGAACTATGGATATACTGACGATTTCGGTGTAATAACAGTTGAGTAGTATTTGTAGAATTGAGTGAAACTGTTATAACGTCTTGTATTGTGATGTCTTTCATCAAGAGATGGATGGGCTCACGAGGGAAATCACTGCAAATCTGTACATTGGGTTCACTGTATCGCCGGATTGCCGTCTCTTGATATCCAAATAAGTGATACGAGTCTATGAGTGCCTCTCATCCCTTCAAACTTACCAAAGTCTATGCGTTTCCATATGTTTCGCAAATCTCTATTTTATTGCCCATCGAATCGGACAAACAGTTGGGCTCTTCATACAGACGTGAGTGAAGACCATTGCAATATGGGATCAACTTTTTTCTCACAAACATTACAACTAAAGTTTAAACAATTATTTCAGGTCACAGGAAATTTGTATCATTCCTGTGGGCTAATTGTAGTTCATTTACAATGTGTTGACTATATTATAACTTTTGAGTCCTCGTGTCATACATTAACAGATTCTAGTGATGAGAAATACATTTCCCAAATATATATACTGTTTATAGTCATCACAATTCAGTCGATTTATCGTTTTAGTGAAACTATGTTTTGTGTGTTTTGTCACAAAAATACTCTATAATATGATATAATATGGTGTATAATATAATGAGTTCATGTCCTGTGATACTTGAGTGATAGTAGAGAGCATAGGAGGCAGAAGCACCAGTTTAACCATATATTCCATTTGCTATTCATCCTGGCTATGGATGATGCCGTGTCTCGCACTGGTAGGTATGCATCAAATATAATTCAATTTATTCTTAAGAATACAATTGGTTTTGATTTGTTTGTGTTTATATAAATTTAATCTGAGATTCGCTTTAAAATTGAGATAACAATCATAAATAGGGAGAGAATTGAATTGACTGATAAAATATAAATGTAATGAAAAATGAATTCGTTTCCATTGAAATGGAAATCTAGTCTATATTTACATAATATTATTATTTGAATGATTATATGATTTAATTTTATCGAATGGAAAAGTCTGTCGAAAATACAAAGTTCGCGATCTTTGTCACAAAAATCAATTGTATTTTATATATAATATTTGATATTTGAAGAGCGAATTCAATTCCCAGAATAGGATTGCATTGTATTGTGGAGTGTATTATATGTATTATATTTGGGTTTATATAATAAAGACATTCAATACCTTGGCTTAGATTTTCGCTTATATGAAGACCCGAGTCCTTCAGCTTGACTTCTGCTACGGCCAGCGCCTCGTTGCTCATCGTATACATCCGAGATATGGTGGCCGTACACCTCAATCGCATGTTATTCCCATTACGGAAGTGCTATTCATACATACAGTATATACACCAATTATACAGATAATATACATTTTCTATACATATTCTCAATGCGAACATACTTTGCAAATGATTAAATGTAACTATCATTTAAATATATTTATATAGAAATCGTGCATATGTTTTGTCCATTTATTCATTTATTTAGCACACAATGACTGGTGACTAACCTTTTCGTTGGCAATAAATTTGAGACTCAAACTACTGGTCTCGAGTCCATCGGAATGGAGTGTTGTTGAGTACATCGTCTCGTATTCACTGCCAGTCTGTGGCAAACATTTAGAAAAGTTTCGATTAATATATGATTAATATATGAAACATGTTTTCAATTATGTAAAGACATGTATTGATGTATTGATATGAAATGTTTGGTTAATATAAGGTAACACTTACTTCTTGATCGTTAATATACCTGAAGTTTATGACGAGATAACCATTAAATCGATGATATAAAGAGAGGAGAAATAAATTAAAAGTAATAAAAATTTA